TAAAAGTAGGTTAACCAATTTATGACATTATGGAACTAAGATTTGGCCTTAATGATTCACTGGTCCTGTTAAGAGGTACTGACTTGCAGGACTCTTGGCAATCATGTTATATACATATGAATTATCCATCTCAAAAGTATTAAAAGAAGAATATGAATAAATGCTGGGCTAGGGTGTTACAAATTTTTGGCATGGTGGTCCTTAATCAAAACATCATTACATCTATCAAACATGGTGTCCAAAATTGCAAATTTGACAGAGCAGATGGCACATGCTTTGTGGGAAGAAATGTTGTTGCTTTCATGGATGTACGTAAAATTAAAAGAATTTGAAGATGCAGCAGCAGTTTGTACTAGCTTTGTTCCTATAGGTGTCACGGGTCCATACTTCAACCCAAAAGACATACTTATGAAATGGAGGAAGACCCTTAATTTATTTTAAGTTCAAGACCATCTTATTTTTCAGTCATATAAAATTCGTGACAATTTTTTCTATTTAATTGTTCGTTGTATTGACTTTTTATCTTTAAAGAAGAATGATTCACTTTGATAAGAGTTTATAAAAGTTCACATTAATAAAATACATTTTCGAGAGACAAAGTCATTTCAATTCTAATTTAGACCTTAATAGTAACTCAATTCTATATTATTCGGAATTAAGGATGGGATATTCATATGTGTCTAATAAAGGTTTTATTTAATTCTTTTAAATTTTTTTAAATATTCAAAAAATTAAAATTTCATATTCATATTTATTACGAATTTGTGTGAAAAACGTGTAATTCAAAAAAAATAAGAATCAAAGTACCATAAATCCCATTTATATGAATATTTTAGAGTTTAAAATCATTGTTTAGTATAATGATGTAATATTAATAAGAGAATCAAAGCTTGAAATGTCATGTTTATACCTTTTCACACGTTTGGTCACCTTAGGGAACAGGATCTAAATTTAGCATAACCTTTAGCTTTTTTGAATAATCTCTTTTAAAAAAAAATTATTTAAGGTATTTTTAAAGTAAAAACATTTTAAATAATATTCAATAATTTTTTATTGATGATATTTTATAAATAAAAATAATAATCAAATAAAATATTTATCTTTTTTTACTACTAAAGATATCATATGATGTTTGGATATTTATTATTAATTAAAATTAATAAAAAGTTGCTATTATATATATTAAAAAAATTATGATAATTATTTAAAAATTAATATAGGTAGATTTTTCTTTAACTAAACGAGCGAATGTAAATACAAAATATTTTAAAAATAAAAAAAAATTTCGAGTATCATATTTTCTCAAAGATCATATATTTTTTTTAAATTTAAAATTTCTGGAACCAACCGTTTTTTAATATATTGTTTTAGTAATAAGAGATGTACAAAGATTCTATGCATTATGAGTTATATGTTGATAATGTAATTTTTTTATAATTTTATAAATGAAGTTAAAAAACTACATATTTTATAGATTTTTAAATATATTCTAAGAAATAAATGTGACTCAGTAATTCACTAAAAACAACACTGACATTTGACGAAATAATTCCTAGGTATTATTTCCTACTTGATTTTGATATGCTAACCACCTAGCATGTTGTCCTACAACTGAGGTGTTTGAAATCTTGGGATATTTGATAACTGTTTTTATTGGTGGTATTTGTTTGTTTTTTCATATCACAATTCAAAGTCCTGCAGATTGTACCAGAGCAGCAATCATTCCTATCCTTCTCCCCCCCCCCCCCCCCTTTTCCCTTAATTTTTACCTTTTTTTTCCTCCAATTTTACTGTCTTATTCCTTGGCAAAATAAAAAAATATATTGAAAAACTTCTGTGGCATTGACTTGCTTATTCATGGTTTCTCCTAATGGCTATTTCCTTCCTCCCCACCATGTGTTATGATCACTCCAACATGTCTTTAACAGGAGAAACACCGGAGTTTGCTTTAGTGCCAAGCCTGTTAACCATGGAACGCAGAGGAATGATACTTTCTCAATTCTTATTACTATCAGTCTGCCAGGCCCCAACTAGCAGTACAGTTGAAATTGGGAGAGGTGTACCAAAGATTCCAAACCATTAACAACCAAACGAAGGCAGAGCCTCCTCCTTAGGCCACCCACCTTTGAATTTCAACCAAGCTATCTGACTCAGACCTTGTTGCCTCCCATCTCTACTCTTTCCCAACAAACAATCACTTATCTTTTCTCTTTTGCCCCAAACAGCCACCTTAACTCTGGAAGATTTTTTTCATAAAACATCCTTTGATTATAGGCTTAATTATAAAAAAAGTTTTTTTTTTTTTTACTAAAATCAAATTATTATTTAAATCTTTATCATTTTATTATAATTAATTGAATTTATAAAATTTTATTTTTATTCAATCTAATCTTTAGTTTGACCAAAATTAGTTAACACTATTACAATCATGTTATTTACGTAACTAAAATTTGTCTAATCAAATATTTAATTAAATAAAAATAAATATTTGAAGAATCAAATCAAATAAAATTAATGTTCGAAAACTCAATTTATTATAACAAAATAATTATAATTTAAATGATAATTTAATTTTAATTTAGGAGTTTTTATATTTAAACTTTAATTATACATTGGGAGCAATATAACTTATATTTTGGACTGAAATTGTATCCCGTTTATTAATTGAGTATGATTTGGCGATTGAATATGTTTAGTAGGTAAAATATAGGGAGATGAAAACATATGTAACTATAGTTATTAGAATTGAATCGGACATTAAATCGTTCAAAGTTTTGAATTATCAAATTAATGGTTTAATCATTGAATTAATCGGATTAATGTCAACTCAATTAAAATATTAAAAAATATATAAATATTTTAAAATTTTAAAATTTAAATTTTTAACACAAGTTAAAATTTAATAATTCAATCATAAAATTATAAATTTTAAGGTATGTCATAAACTACAAATTTTAAAATATAAAATTCATAGAACAATTAATTATTAGTTATAAATAAAGTTACTTAACATTTTATTAAAATCATATTTTATACTTTAATAGTTAGAAATAATACTTATATTTTATAAATATAATAAATATACTAATAATAATTATTATTAATTATATTTATTAAAAATAAAATATTATTTATTAATATATAATAATTAATCTAATAGAAATATTTATATATAAAATTAATAAAAAGGAAATTAAAATCATTTTTATATTTTTATATGAATGTATATTTTTTTAATTAATTTTGCATTATAGATTTTTTATTCATTATTATCTATCATAGTCAAATAATTAATCATTTTTATTAACTTTTTAATTTTTTTATTAATTTTATATATTATTAATTTTATAATTATTTTTAATTATGGTATCAATTAATATAATTGTTTGTTAGATGATCTTTTCATGAAAATTACTTATTTTTACACATGAATAAGTTTCTTTACAATGTCATTATCCATATGTCCCAAAATATGACAACATATCATTAATATAAAGATATAAGGGTTTTGATAGCAGAAAATAAGAGTTGAAATGTTTATTTAGATAAAATAGTAGTATAAAAGTTTAATTAGATTATTTTAAATACTTGAAAGGTTTCGACAAATTAAATATATAAATATATACTTGAAAGGTTTTTTTTTTATATTTTACCTAAATTTTTTAGTTAGTATTGAACCAGTTTGTTTAAAAAAAAAAGATGTAATTTATTGATTTATAAATGTAAATTATCGGTTTACAACGGTTTTAAAGCGATTTAATTCAAAATTGGTCTAATTATAAAATCGAACCAATTTCAGCATCGATTCACTGGTTCAACCAATTGGACCAATGATCCAATCTAATTTTGATTATGATATTTTAAAAAAATAATATAATTTTAATATAATTTAATAACAATCATAAAATTTTAAATGACCTTAAATTTTTTAAAAACTTAAATTTGTCCTATAATAATTTTAACAAAATCAACCATATAAAATGAAAACTTATATTTATAAGTCCAAAAACAAGCTAATAATAAGGCAAAGCCAATGGTATTTCAGTTTAACTTATTTTCATTGCCAAAATCCACCTTACCCTTCACTACTATTTAAATTTCAGATAAGATGATAAGAATCAAATTATTTGTTTGGTTGCCATTCTTTGATGACAGAATAAGAGGACTATATCAATATAAAGAAGTCTAAAACAATACTATAATATACCAAAATCAAATTTTGTTTTGTAAACGTCGTAAAAATAAAAAAGAGATATATACAATATGAGATGGAAAAATTATATAATTTTAAAATTATGTCTTCCTTTACTAAATAGTTCAACTACTATAAAAAAAAAAAAAAACTTTTAGATTATATTCGATACCATTTTCAAGATTATCGTGATAATTTAATTACTATAATAATAAAATCATCAAGATAATTTGATTATTGATGATCTTAATTTATTATATTTGATATAATATTGTAAATTATTAATGATTTTAAATTATTATATTGTATAAAAAAATAAATTATAAAATATTAAAATCTAAAATAACCTTGTAAAAAGAAAGTAAAAAATTTAATACTTATTAAATTAATAATTTATAAAATAATTAAATATTATTTTATAAAAAATTATAAAATATAAATCAATTTTGATGAAAAATAATTTCTAAAAAAATTATTAAATAATTTCATTATTTTTATAATCAATAAACATTTATTTAATTGTAATGGAATTTTTTTAAAAAAAAATATCGATAGAAAAATAAATTTATGAAAATTTTTACTAATTAATTTTTTAAGACAATATTAATTATATTTTTTATCAAGATAAATTAATCAAAAAATTATTTTTTATAATGATAAAATTTTTTCATCCTTAAATTAAGAATCATATTGTCCCTCAAGGATGATTTTATCATCCCTATCATTTAAAATCACTACCATTTAAAATTTTTAAATAATTATGTAATTACTTAATTCAGATTACCGTGCTAATACCATTTAAGAGAAAATAGAAGAATGGATAAAGACTGAAAATTATTCACATTTCCCTACAAAAATATCAGTTCTCTACAGCAAAGCGAAGTGGTGAGCATCATCCCACCAACAGTGGAGTCGAGATTGTTAACATCCCACTCCACCACCCCCAAACTGTTACCCAATCCCAAAACCCCAAAAGAAAACCCATATTTTTTCATTCAATTATTAACTTCTCTCTCTCCGCTTTCTCTTTTGGTTTGCTTCTTTTATCTTTCCTTATTCTTTCTGTAGTCTTCTACTGCCACTTTAGTTCCTCTCTCTCTCACTCTCTCTCTCTCTGTTCTTTCAGCCTTCTCTCTCTTTTTAACCTTTGTTTCTGGCGGATAAACCGGGGTCTTTGCAGATCCAGGAAAACCCAACTTCTGGTAAAATCTTTTTATTCTTATCCTTCTTTCTCTCTCTTTTTCTTGTTATCTGTAAAGTGTAAACTGGTACATTTGTTCATTTTTTCTTTGTCAGTTCTGCTTTTTCTTGTAAAAGAAAATTGTGTACTGTATTACTGCATTGACTTCTTTAGTCATGTTGATTAGGATAAAATGATGTGAATGTTCTGTTTCTCCTTTCTGATCAATATTTCTAACCATAAGACCTCTTGGTTTGTTGGCTAAAATTTCTGCCTGTTTCGTTAATTTGTCTTTGTTTTTGTTGCATAATTGATTTCTTTTAGCTGTTTCTTGATCTGGGTATGGTTTATTTTCACAGTTATTTGATCAATGTGCTTGGAATAGAAAATTTTTAAAGGTATGTGGATTTGGGTTTCTAGATACTTGAAAAGACTATAGCTTGTGATCTTCTGGCAAAGTATTTGTTATTGGGTCTTCATTTTCTTTCATCTTTTTCTTCAACGCTTGCTTCTCTTAATAGGAAATTCAGATTTTATTTTGATTGTTAAAGCCCTGTTCTTATTGTTCAAAAAAGTTTTTTTCCCCTTTGTTAGTAGTATTTGGCACTTGCATTTGCTAATTATTGAGGCCCCATTTCCGTTGGATTCTGATTTGCTACATGAATCTTTATTTTCTTTCTACGAGAATATCTTGGTTGATTGTCAATTAGCTTCTGTTGTCTTTTATTTTAGAACTCATATATTTTCAGTTATTTGTTTATAGAATCATTTTTATCCCTTATTGCTTGCAACTTCATATTTGGTTATGCTTTAGCAGGAAAGGAAGCAGGATTAGATGGAAGAGGATGACGATTTCAGACGTTGGGATGAATTGATTCCAGATGCCCTTGGGCTGATTTTCAAGAATCTTTCACTCCAGGAAAAACTTACTGTTATCCCAAGGGTCTGCAAATCATGGCATAGAGCGGTTACAGGCCCTTATTGCTGGCAGGACATTGACATCGAACATTGGAGCCAACAATGCCGGCCTGAGACCCTTGATCGCATGCTTCAAATGCTGATAACTAGAAGCTCAGGTTCACTCCGCAAGCTCTGTGTTACTGGTCTCCCTACTGACCGGAGCTTTTCATTCATTGCAGATAAGTAAGGACATAACATGTTGCCATCATGTCTCTCAGTTGCATTTTCTGTTATATCCCTTTGGAATGAAAGTTACCACATCTGCAATTTATGACTGGAACAGAAAAAACTATATGTTTCTATATGTAGTGTATTCTTCATGAATTATTTAATGAGTTAAACTAATTTTGATTACTCACTTTCAGTTTAACAGGTTAAATGGAAAAGGCTGGCATTGGGTATATATTGGTGCTGAAATATTAGCTTAGGCAACTAATACTAAACAGAAAACTAGTACTTAGTTGGTTGAAGCTACTTGTAATTTTCATTTTCCTGTGATTTTACTGTAGTTTTGTGTTTTGAATATCTTACTGATAGAGTAGGGAACAATAACCAACTTAATCATAAAGAATCTGAAGAGGATTATAAGATCAGTGGTGACAGTCTGTTTTATTTTATGACTTCATTGTGGATATCGTAAATCGGATTATTGCTACTGTCATTTACTCTTGTTTCCACCTACTTCTAGTGCCAAATCTCTTCAGACTTTACGGCTGCCAAGAAGTGAAATAAGTGATTCAGTAGTGGAACAGGTTGCTGGGAGGCTCTCTTCAGTAACTTTCTTGGATGTTAGTTACTGCAGGAACATCAGAGCTTCTGCCCTTGAGGCAATTGGCAAGCACTGTAAGTTACTAATGGGGTTGAGGAGAACAATGCACCCATTAGAGGTAATTGACAAGCTGTCTCAAGATGACGAGGCCCTTGCCATTGCTACCACAATGCCAAAGCTCAAGCAACTTGAGGTGGCATACCTGCTTGTTAGCACAGAAGGTGTGCTCAAGATACTTGAAAACTGCCCTGAGCTTGAATTATTGGATGTGCGAGGATGTTGGAATGTGAAGCTAGATGAAAATTTTGTCAAGAAATTCTCACGACTGAAGGTGGTTGGACCTCATGTTGTGGATTGTTTTGGGATGAAGGGCTGGGATGATTGTTCAAATTATTCAGGTTCATCTGGTTACTTGGCCTGGGACTTTGTTGCTGGAGATGTTGGTATCGATTACGATGATGAGATATCAGATGGGGATTGGGAAGACGACCAAAGCATGGAAGATGTGGAAATGAGGTTCTACGACACTTTTGATTTGGATAATGCTGCGTTTGATTGGCCCCTCTCCCCCTGAGGTTTGTCCATAGCTTTTCGTAATTGGGTTGACAAGCTCAGTCAATGTTCACCATCACTGTTAGACCAAGTGCGGTGAGTACCTCTTTGCTACCACTTTGCTATGTACAAACATTTGTGTTTCTAAAGTAGTATATAAGCAAGTTATTTCTGTGAGTGTTTGTAATAAAACTTGTAATCTGCAGCAAAAAAATATATTTCCCTAGTAATTGCGATAAATATCTCATAGCGTTTCCATCTTGCTGTATTGTCCCTACAATAATTATACAATTCGAAGTGGGATTGCAAAGATAGTCCAAACTTCCATGGAATATCAAAGAAATTGATCAGATTGTGACAGAAAGGAGGATTGCCCTTTTTATTTTTTTGACTTTTGTCGATGCTTTACGTCTATAATCAACAAAGTCTACCAAAAGGTCAATTGAGGATTGGAATTGTCTGTTAAGCTTTTCCAATGCTTCATCATTAAGCCAAAGCTGTGTCCCCTGGTCCCTAGCGAAAGGAAGAAAGTAATTCCCCTATATGCTCTTTGTAATCCATCCTTAAATAGGGTAATGATTTATCAAAAATATCATTTTGAAGCATCCGATTCAAAGGCAGCTGCAATGCTCAAGAAACAAGCATATCTCCGTCTGAATGATAAATTGATGATAGTGGAATTCCATGTGGACAGAGTTATCGGATGAGGTCAATTCTTTCACTAATCAGCACATGTGAAGCATGGCTGCAGAGCAAGATCTAAATAAATCTTCTCATTCTTTGAAAAAACGATGGGAAGACAAACTAAAAGTGAAACAAAACTGTTAGTTATCAACTAGTAATTTCAGCAGCTGGATCGAGAGATCTTGTCACCACTCAAGGTGGTATACTCCATAATCCAGAAGAATGCTTAAAAAAAAAACTTTGAACACTGGTACAATTGATTTAGATCAATCAAAAAAAAAAAAAAAGATCAAGTACGTTATTAAATTCTAAGTTGATTTCGTATTTAGAGGGTTGGATCAATATACAATCACAGGTGGAATACTCCATGTTCCAAGTGGGTACCTGAAAATTCCAGAGATAATATAAGTGCACCTGGGAAAAAGAAGGCGAACTTTCAAATTGAACATTTAAATATTGGCAAATTACTTTATTTATTGGCTTCTTCACATCTTCTCAGCTGAGGATCCAAAGTTTTAAATAAATTGTCATACCTTCAGCATCTGTTTTGTATTTTGCCTGAAGGAATAATTTCAGCACTCAAATTCAAACATTAAAGCCGATTGAATTTCCTTCCAAGAGTGATGTCATACATGCTAACCAGCATAGTTGGGGCTGTTGAAGGTCTTTATATTTTGACAAGCATGCTCAAGATATTGAAATTATTAGTATGTCATCCTGCAAGGAAGCCACAAAATTGTAAAACAAATTGGATAAATTAAATGGAACCATGTAGTCAGAACAAAGAAAAACCATCAAAGAACAAAAGTACCTCATAGTAAAACCTGGAGCATCATTATATCATCTGGGACTTGGAGTTGAGTAAAATTGAGACGATGCTTGCAGCATATTATTATGAAAATGAATGACAACATCAGTTACCCGAACAACATAAAAGAGAAGGAAAAAAGAAAAAGAGAACAAAAGCAGTTGAGCATTGATTATATTAGAGCACTTGTCCAGGCTCCATTTGGAGTAAACACGCACAGAATTGGACTTGTACGCTTTTGCCAGCACTCATGCAGATGCCTCTTGAATGGCCTAAAGTATGCTACTGCTAATGTACATTCCTATAGGGTTTTATACCCGTTTCTTTGAATAAAAATTTCATGATCCAAAATGGAAATCTTCTATACCGTTGAAACCACTTAAATTATAGGTAAAATCAGAAAACCGAAAGGAAAAACACTAACAGATCATCTGATATTTCTACTAGGAACTCAGAGACTGACAGGAATTCCAAATGCAAGTCATTAACATTTACAACTACTTCAAAGAAAATACATTTAGTCTCATGTAACATATATTACCAGAAATGAATTATAGAACATTATATATCATGTCAAAGACTTTAAAGGTTATGGAGACATTTTAATATCATGATGTACCATATGAATGCAGACTGCACAACATTTCTAAGGTGCTTCAGAATATCTGCTTGTTATTTAAAGATTAAAACTATGAAGTCATTGTTATCAACACTACCTCAGGAAAATTACCATACAAAAGAAACTCGAATGTAAGAATCATTGTATGTGCTATCATAAAACTTGATGACAACCAATTAATCATTACAACAAAACCAATATAGTAAATCATGACATCAAAGACTTGTGACTTTGTCAAATCTGGAAGAATAACATAGCGCTTTAGACATGTCATTTTCCCTCCCCTTTTTACCCAACATGGACATCTTAGAAATAGGAATGGTGCACAAAACCAAAAGAGGCAGGTAACACAAACATGCAAAAGAAGCAAATGAATAAACAGGCTACTAGCAGATTACCTCTTCTCCCCTTAATTGATATAGAAGAAGATTCAGCTATGATAGTCAAAGGACTTTAGATGAATTGCCCTCATTACATCTTCCATGGAGATCGGGAAAAAGCAAACATTTATCCCTAAACATTTCTCTGCTGCATGATTTTCTTCTTATTTGGTTAGACGTAATAATAAACTATAAACATAATTAATTTAAGCAAAGCAGTGAGGATAAAGATGATGTAAGTACCTCCATTTTGCACATTAGTGCACAATATAGCTTTTTTTTTGAGAGCCCAGTACTAGTCTCCAAACCCAAATTCTTTCTGATCCTAAATCCATTGCACAAAGACAAATTAACCAAGTCCCCCCTCCCCCTCTTTTTCCTTAAAGGAAATAATAACAATATAGTAAAAAGCGTTACCCCTCCCCGGCATTCAAGTACACTTAAAGGTGGTTTGAATGGATCCTTTTCTAACAAATTCGCCAATGTTTCTGCCCAACCCTTACCTGCATCACAGAAAGAATTTCATTGGCAAATGGAAGTTGGAAATTAGGAGATTAACCTCTGAACTAGTTCTTAAGAGATCACAGTATTACCTTCTCAAATCCTTTTGCTAGAGCAGTAACTCCTGTTAGCATATACAGTCTCTTCTCATTCAAATCATCTAACTGCAAAAACAAAAACTATGGTTGCTGAAGAAAGGAAGACAAGCAGCCATGGTATCAGACTATTCAAATTTGATTGCTTTTGCAACCCTACATATTATGTTTCCAACAGTTCAGAGATTAATTCACCGCTTACTTCTAGAATGTCCTTTACAATGGAAGTTAAACAAATTTACTTCGCAAGTACACAATGGAAGGAATGGAAGCCAAGGCAAGGCTCATTCCTTCTTGGACAGAAAATTCATATGTCCTAGTGGAAGTATACAAGGGAAAGAAAATTCATCCAACTCCAACATCAACCTCCCAATGCCATTGCTTTGAAAGCCACACAACTAGCTGCGACAACTTAATCGCAATTTATGCAATATCCTTGCTTTAATATAAAGACTACTTATAAAAATGAAAATATTTCTTCAAATATTGATTATTACCTGATAAATATAGCTTTCAGTGAACGAAAGGGCAGGGAAATATTCGAATATCACAAGCGGGCCATTTATGTCCTTCCCATGAAACATAAAATAAGATCTGCACTGCAAACACAATCATAACATCACCTGTCGGAAGTTGGAACCATTCAATATAACAAGTTTGTCTGAGAGAATATGTAAAATTTTCCCACCATCATCATTAATATTATTAATACATCCAGCGAACATTAACGCCTATAATACAAAAGATAGTGATTTAGAACTGTATAACTTGACACCACTCATAATTTTTTTTTTTCTTTTTCAGAGCTTACGAAATCCTCAAGTGTAGAATTTACCCGTTCCATCGCATGGAGTCCCATCATTGCTACCTCCTCATGGTTTACCTGCAACGAAAGGCAATCCGTCTTATCAGGCGGATTATTAATCTCTTCAGAATCTGTAAAATAAAAAATTTCAAAACATAAAGACATGAATTTTACAAACCAACCAAATTTTCTTTTTTGAAATAAAAAACGAAAAAGAAAAAACAAGTTGACCCCTTTCATCAGTTTCCAAACTAACCCATTGTGATGCTTCTTCCTGAATGGTAACCGAATTCTACAAATTTGTAAAACAATTAACCAAAAAAGGGAAAAAAAGGAAATTAATCACTAGTGAGAAATGGGAAAAGCTTACTTTTGGTATATATTCAGAAATTAAACTGAATTTGGAGTAAAGATTTAGTTCGTCGGGTGGTTGTAACTGGAAAATCGTATTAATAAGTTTTCAGAAAAATTTAGTTAAAATGAGATGAAAAGGGAAAAGGAAAAAAAAGGATAAAAACAGAATAGAGATTACTTAGAGAAGGATGAGATTGGCGACGAAGCGATTGGAGTCGATGGTTGACGAAGAAAGAAAGTTATGCGATTGCATGAATGCAAGAGTACTTTGGAGTTGTTCTAGCTTCCTCAGTTCTTCCGTTGCTTCTTTTCTTCTTTCTCTGCTCTGCGTTTCTTCTGCAAATTTTTTATACTTCTTGCAATGCAGCAGCGATAGCATTTTGATCTGGCATTCTCAAGAGTCAAGGCCTTTTTTTTTTATTATTGGCTTTAAGCAACATAAGTAAAGTTATAAATTATTTCAAGTAAAAGATGAAAACAGAAATTCTTCAAATACCAAAAAGAAAAATGGGGCAAAAAGAAAAGGTATGCACTTTGCATTGCAGGTGAGTGGTGAATGGTGAGTATAAAGCCTGACAACGAGATGTACAGATATAAACTATTTTTCAATATTTTATAGTAAAATTTGAGAAAATACAACAATATAAAAAAGAGAAAGAGAAAAATGTTTGGTATGATTAGCAAAATACCATACATATGCAAGCTAAACACACAAAAAAGAAAAAAAAAAAAACAAAGCCACTTCTTTCACCTTGGTATGTTACTATGCTCAACTAGAAATAAGCATGTCTCCCATTTTATTTCTTGTTTAATCCCTTTCTAGCTCTTCTTCCATCTTCAATTGTAGCTGGGCTGCATGCAGCGGTCAAGAAACAAGAACATTTTCAGGCAAAAAATGTTGATGCCCAAGCACAGCTCTAGTGGCATCTGTGGGAGTCCAAGTGCCTTGTATACTGAAGGATCGGACAAACTGTTATCATGCTGTTAATTACATTCGCCGCGACAAACTCTGCTGCATTCAAAACCTTATGCACTGTCATTGCCAGATCCCTTGCTTGTACCAAAAGGTTGAGTCTTATGGACTTCAATTGTTTTGCCTCCTCAGTCGATTTGCAAGCTTCAACTGTATCTTTCTCTTGAATAGGTTCCCGCTTGTCTTCAAACAACTTTGTCGACTTCCCAATTGCAAGGATTAACTCGAGTTGTGTTTGCTGTTGCTCCTACAGAGTACATCATTGGAATATTAGAAGTTAAATTACTTTTAACAGAGCAATAATATTCCCAACGGCAAACCATGTGCTTAGTTAACCATTAATCACATGTTGAGAATCCAAAAGCCACAAGCATGTATTGATATTACTTAGTCCTAGTTCCTCGGAATACTAGCGAAGACAACAACAAGGTTTCTGTTGGTACCATGATTCTGGAACAACATGCACGGAATCCAGTTTTCTTGGCTAAGAATCACAGCTCATGTACTTTCTGTTGGTTTAAGAGGGACTTAAGGCTTTGCTAAATCCTAGCAAAACTTTTTAAAGAGTTCAAAACTACCCTAAAAAGACAGAATAAGAGTTTGACCAGTATTATTTAATCTTTCAAAACCCTTTGGATCAACACAGAATATAAGATTGTAACTAATAAAAACCATGTTGAATCTCCTTAAAGCCCCATTATGGAACTCCTATATCAACCAAGCATTATTACTAATGAGTTCAGAAAATTAAAGAATCCACTGATGTAATCAAACAATGCTAAAATGTTACCTGCACTGCCAGCAAAACTTTCTGAATTTCACCAAGCTCCTTTTCCAGGATCTCTTTTTGCCCTGCTAATGCTTTAGTAGCCTCAGAATTCTTTTGAGACAAAGCTGTAGTCTTCAGACACAGTAAAATGGTTAGAAAGTTATAAATATAAAAATCACAATAAAGTAGTAAATATAATTTGTTATCAACAGTTCGTCTTCCCATTTACTCAGTCAGTAGCAAGGGTGCTTAAGATCTTAACTATTATCACATTGGAGTAACAGCTAACAATAGTTTATTCATCTATATCAAGTCAAAACTGAGTTACATAGACTAAGGGTCCATTTGAGATTGATTGGTAAGATTAAATACGGTAGTAGAGATCAGATTTGTTATTGTAACAAAGAAATTAAAATCAGTTATGAAAATATATGTTTGGATGTAAATATAACAGTTACGATGAGATGAATTGTAAGAAGAAAAAAATGACTTATTAAATTAAAAATTATATGTAATAAAATTTTAAATTATTTAATTTTTATAAAATTAATAAATTATTAAAAATTTATTAAATTATTTTTATATCAAATAATAATATATTAATAAATAATTAAAAAATAATAATATATTAATTAAAGAATTTTTTATTATATTAAATTAACAAATTATTTTTTAAAATTTTAATAAAATTTTTAAAAATTTTTAAATTAAAATTTTAAATTTAAATTAAAATATTAAGATATTTTTGTCTTTATAATATAATTGAAAGGATAAAAATGTAAAAAAAAAAAAAAAAGAGAAAACGATGCGTTTCTTGACTTCACCTAAAAACTCTAGTGAAAAGAAGCTATATTTGTGTGGTGCGATGAGATCAAAAAAATATTTCCGCGCGATTTACACAGTTTTTTATGCAAAATGAGTGCGTTATTGTAATAATGAAATTAGAATTAAAGATGAGATATATATTTGAATATAAATATAATAATAATAATAATAGATTAAATTATAATAAAAAATAAGTATTAAAAACATTTGATTAAAATTTATGTATAATAAAAAATTTAAATTATTTAATATTTATAAAATTCACAAATAATTAAAAATTATTAAATTATTTAATATCAAATAATTATTTTATTAATAATAATTAAAATTAATAAAAATAATAAGATATCAAATAATATATTTTATCATATTAAAATTGTTTCACATTTAAAAAAATATATATCAAAATAAAATAGAAAAAAAAATAAATTGTAAGGACATTTAAATATTTATAATATAAATTAAGGGGTAAAAAAAAAACAAAAAGAATGGCTTACCAAAACCCACCTATGTAATAATCTGTTGCGCTATAGCATCCAAATGGATGCTCAGTGCCGATTGGCACAACTTTTCCTGGTAACCGCTCCTCCATTAGGGTTGTTTATCAATCCAAATGTACCCTAGAGATGACACAATTAAATAGAACATTTTCCCTTTCTAACATGGATGCACACTTGCACTCAACAATACGAAAAGGCTTTTGGACACACACAAAGACACCCCCTATTGAATAACAAATTT